GGACAGGAAAGAACAAATAAAGCCTGCCCTTTAACAGGAATACTCGGCCATATGTTCACTGGAAGACCAACCAAACAGTAAACTCCTGTTTGGAAATGATTTGACAAAAAATTTAAAGGATGCCAAAGAGACAAGTTCCCTCAGTTCTTCTATGAAAAGTTATCCCCCCAAGCAGTACACTTATTCTGCAAACAAAAAACCTGCCTTGAAAAATAAGCAGGATTTTTGGCACGGCCAGTGTAAGAACAATCAAAAGAAAAAGCCCTGGAGGGGGGGGGGGGGGGGGGACGAGAGAAGAAGTGACAGAACTTCTCAAACTTAACAAATCCGAAACTCGGTAAGTAAATTTGAAAAATATATACCTGTTATTCTGACATATTTACAGAATTTATGCACTAGCTTTAAGGCTGGTCAAGTAGCTGAGCATTTTACAGCCTGGACTAAAATAACTCAGGACAGAGAAATTTTATCAAATATAACAGGAGTGGTAATCGAATGCACTGAGACACCTGTGCAACGTAACCTACCAGGTCAAACGTTTCACCCACATGAATACCAAATACTTGATGCAGAAATATCAAAGTTAGTTGGTAACGGGGTAGTAATCAAAGTACAACCTGAAACAACACAATTTATTTCTAGCATTTTTTTGAGGCCAAAACTTGATGGGTCACACCGTTTCGTTCTAAATTTGAAAAAGTTTAACGAAACAGTGGTATATCATCATTTTAAGATGGATTCTATTTATGATATAACTAAACTAGTTACAAAAGACTGCTTTATGACATCTTTGGATTTAAAGGATACGTATTACTCTGATACCCATCAAAGCATCAGACCGAAAATATTTACGTTTCATCTGGAAGGGAGAAATTTACCAGTTTACATGTTTGCCCAATGGGCGAAACTATGTGCACCTAGGGTATTTACAAAAATATTGAAACCTGCATTAGCAACTTTACACTCTATGGGCCACATTTCTGTGGCACATATTGATGATTATGATATTTGTTGTGTTGGTGCAATGTACTCAGGTGAATAAGATGCTTGTGTGATGTTACTCTGAGTGTATATCCACACCGGGCAGGCTTGAAAAATATGCCTGGCCACGGTGGGAATCGAACCTACGACCTTTGGAATACTAGCCCAACGCTCTGCCAACTGAGCTACGCGGTCAGGACGGTTCGAGTATGCGATATTTCGAACCGTCCTGACCGCGTAGCTCAGTTGGCAGAGCGTTGGGCTAGTATTCCAAAGGTCGTAGGTTCGATTCCCACCGTGGCCAGGCATATTTTTCAAGCCTGCCCAGTGTGGATATACACTCAGAGTAACATCACACAAGCATCTTATTCACCTGACAAACATCATAATCATCAATATGTGCCACAGAAATGTGGCCCATAGAGTGTAAAGTTGCTAATGCAGGTTTCAGTATTTTTGTAAATACCCTAGGTGCACATGAAAGCCCATTGGGCAAACATGTAAACTAGTAAATTTCTCCCTTCCAGATGAAACGTAAATATTTTCGGTCTGATGCTTTGATGGGTATTAAAACTCCAAACTACAAACAATACGAGAGGTTGCGAGAATTATTGGTAAAATAGTGGCAAGCTTCCCGGGGGTTACATATGGACCCTTGTACTACAGGGAGTTGGATAAAGATAAAACCCAGGCCCTAAAAGAAGTAAAAGGGGGATTTTGATGTGACAATGGCACTATCACAGAGTGCAAAAACGGAATTGCACTGGTGGGAGTGTCATGTGGAAAACTCCTTTCAGAAATTGACACACGAGGAGCCATAACATGAAATCACTACTGATGCCTCCCTCTCGGGATGGGGGCGGAGTACCAAGATATATCTACAGGGGGGATGTGGATAAGTCTGAAACTACAAATCACATTAACTACCTTGAAATGTTAGCCATCTTTTTTGGCCTACAGACATTTGCAAAAAATCTGAGTAACACACACATAAGAATAATGTGTGATAATACCACTGCGGTTAATGTTATAAATCACTTGGGTCACTTGGGTACAAGTCATTCTGACATTTGCAATAATATGACAAAGCAAATTTGGAAGTGGTGTATAGATAAAAACAGATGGCTCACCGTAGCTTACATCCCGGGAAAACAAAATTTGGTGGCGGATTATGAATCAAGGCGACATCAAAGGGAATCTGAATGGATGTTAAATGAGGCATTGCTTTCAGATACCTTGGTTAAGCTAAACTTTAGCTCAGAGATCGACTTATTTGCAACTCGGGTAACCAAGCAATTCCCAAAATATGTTGCATACCGACCAGACTCAAATGCTTGTGCAATAGATGCATTCACCTTATCATGGGCGAACTTAAAATTTTACGCCTTCCCACCTTTAAGTGTCATTGGAGCTATGCTGGCAAAGATCCAAAAAGAGGGAGTTCAGGGAATATGTGTGTTACCGAACTGGCCAACCCAGAGCTGGTATGCAAAAGCGTTAAGCATGATGACACAGTAACCAGTTTACATCAAAGCCAGCAAGAGTCTTTTCGGCCTACCAAGTCATCCACATAAAATACATCCAATTTGGCAAAAAATGAACTTATAATCTGCCTCTTGTCCAGGAGAAACTAGAAAGATACGATTTATCGGCTGACGCAAAAGAGATAATTATGGCTTCGTGGAGACCAGGTACATCAAAACCGAGTACAAGACATACTTAGATAAATAGCAGGTTTATTGCAAGGAACAGCAAATTGATGTAATTAAACCAGGCTTGGAGAATGCCATTGAGTTTCTTGTGTCACTGTACCATTTAGGTATAGGTTACAGTGCCATAAACACTGCTCGTTCAGCGCTTTCTAACATACTTATATTAGATGATGGCGTTAAATTTGGGGAACACCCCATAGTTATTCGCTACATGAAAGGCATATTTGAAATAAGGCCAGCCTTACCCATGTTACTGTTGTCTTAAATTATTTAAAGACGTTTGAACAAGTTGCCTCCTTCCCACTCAAGGAACTCTCAATTATTACTGAGCTACAGATCAGCTGGAATTGATGTCAAAAAATATTCTGCTCATAGTTGCCGCGCATCAACATCAAGTTGCAAGGCTAAAGGTCTTACCATGAAGGCAATAATGGAGGCGGCAAGTTGGTCGAATGCTGGGACATTTGCAACCTTTTATGAAAAACCAGTGGATATTGTTAGCCAAAACGTTGGTAGTGTATTGTTAAAATAGTGAGCATAAAAATGTTCATTTCTTGGTTGATATTGTTTAATTAAAGTTCATTGAAATTTATTTACATTGTTCAATGTGCCTGGTAGTTCGTAGCACAAGATAGAATTACAAAATTAAACGAAACTTACCTGGAAGTTGAAGTTTGATTGGGATTCTATCTTGGTCATCAGTCCGGAACGAAGGAGTAACATGCCCTAAATACCCACCCTTCACATCTTTGTTATTAAACCTCCTGCACTACTCACGTTGAAAACTGATCAGCAATGCGCATGCGCAACTCATGTTACTCCTTTGTTCCGGACTGATGACCAAGATAGAATCCCAATCAAACTTTAACTTCCAGGTAAGTTTCGTTTAATTTTGTAATTATGCATGTAAACACAACAGCCCACCATGCAAGGCTATCGTCCAACTTTGACAGTTTAACAAATTATTTATCTTGCTTAATGGACAGATAAATGACACTCATACACAAGTCCGAAATGATATATACTTTATCTGCGTTTTACAGCAAAAATGCTCATAATCTTTCCATTTGACGTAACTAATATCTATAATTTCCTGGGGTGCAAACTGAACTATTTTTATACTATTTAGATACTTTCGTAACATATTTGATGGCACCTTTCAATTCTAACGAACGCACTAGCTGAAGGTAGTGGTCTTTCAATGTGGTGTCCCCTGTATAACGTATAACTACACCTCTCGCGACTCCATCTTTGCCTCGAAAGGCGTCAATGTGTCGCACGACCTTCGTCTTTCTCCACTCCCTCTGTTCTTTTCGTTACCAATTACGAGCACGATTTCGCCAATTTTCGGTACGATGGAGATTTTTTGTTTCCTCGGCGATTTTCCATCAGACTGTGAACATAAGATGAGCAAACGCTTGCAGATGTTAACGATGGGAAAATTAGTATAAGCCATCTTATATCTTGCTTGGTGAGAGTCTTGTAGTAGCTCACTCCTTCTTAACTCTTTAATCCAACTTACTGTAGCTTTAAACATTTTGGCATTGTCAAAAATTAACAACTCTGGTCGTGTTCTTTTGGCAATGAATGTATTTAATTTTCGCTGAAATTCTTCAGCCGTCTGCGACTTTGTCTATAAGTATGTAACATTTACCCAGTTCATTTTTCGAAACCTTATTGCTCAAGAGTCCTGAAAACTCAGCTCCTGTTGTCTGGAAGGGCGTTCCTTCTTCGGTGTGAAAGATGGGCATCGCGGCAGTATTTTTTGGTCCGTATGGTTTGGCTCTGTACATCTTGCAAATGTTACGTGTGTTGATTATCTTCTTGACTTTAGACCTTAGTTTTGGTATCCACCATTCGTATCTTATAGCTTCCACAGTGTCTTATAGTTGCCGCTTCTGCGTGCGTAGGATGCGTTTCTTCGCGAACAAACCTCGTCCATGTATGTAGGTTGCCTTGTATTCTGCCTTTACACTTGAAAATTCCTGTCCCTTCTTCTTTAATTATTTCAAATCCAGAGGTTTGTAGGTCTGCTGGAATGTTTTTCAGCACTCTCTTAATCTAGTGGTTTTTTGCACTTGTATCCCTTCTATCGCCCATGCATGGTCATGTCCGTTTTTTTACGCAACAACGCTTTGTGGTAGCGTTGTTTAAGAACCTCATTGAGCTCTCCAATAATTGTTCTTTGTCAGTGGTATTGTCCATTCATCCGTGTTGCGTTCTTTATTGTAAAACGTTATCTTTGAAGGGTTTGTGTTCATTGCTGACCTCTCTGGAGCACTTTAGATCCGGCTGTTCTGGCCAGTGCTATTCGTCAAGTAACCAATCATGACCAGCAAACCACCTCTCATTCACTAGTTTACCCACTCCAGGTCCTCTGCACCCAAAATCTGTCAAGCTCTTATTCGTTGGGTAGTATTTCCAAGCTATACCAAATTCGTTTGAAACTTTAGCAATCGTTTGTGCACGATTAGCAACAGACTTTCTACTGCTTTCACTGGTTAGTGATCCAATATAACGCCATCATACTCTCCATTCACACCAGTGTTGTAGTACTCGAGTCCGGACCTGAGGGGCATGACTCGGACTTGAACATATATATATATATATATATATATATATATATATATATATATATATATATATATATATATATATATATATATATATATATATATATA